ATGACAATTTGTAAGAAATCGCATCGTTAATCTATCCGTCTTTCATCCTTCTATCTTGTCTATTTACTACTGCTTACACATGTACACTAGAAGCAAGCACCATTTTATTTTTAAAAGATGACTTATATGTTGCTGCCCTCGTGTGCAACAACCAGTCGCAAGTAATTAATTAATAGCTAATTATGCATTTTTATGTGACTCGCCTATGAGGACAGGAAAAAAAAATAAAAAAATCATGCCTCTATATTTTTCAATGCTAATCATTTTATTGTAATGAATGTAAATATGATATTTGATTTTAGCTTTTTAAAAGAGAAAAAGGGGCCTTTACAGTAGGCTCATATGTTTGGGCCTGATATGGAAAGCAGGAAAACAGCTTCTAAATGCTACAATTCTACCATAATGGTATAAAATGTTGAGCTCGAGGTCCCGGAAGATAACATGACTTTGTCTACCAAAATGAGCAAGATTACAGATGCCACATGACTGGGAGACAGTCTTTTGCACGGAGGATGGCCAAAAACCCCATACTTAATTTAACAGTTATGCGTTTCATCACGCATAATGATCTTGTCCATGACAATTGGGAGAGCGTATATATAATGGGTTTTTGAAAAATGTTAGAACGGACATATCAGGGCCACTCATATCAACTTAATAGATGTGACTGTAAGAGATGGATCCGATACATCTGCTATAGTTCAATCAATCGTGGGAGACTACGATCTTATCATGGTAGGTCGTTGCCATGAAAACGAACCAAAAGTTCTATCAGGCCTATCAGAAAGTATTCCTTCCCGAGAATTTGGGATGTGCTTGCTTCTGAGAATATTTTTAGTCTAGTTTCAGTGCAGGTGGCTCAACAGCAAATCATGAAGGCAAGGCATAGCAGCACTTTCAATTAATGTACTGTTTGAACCCAAGCTGTCACTTGTCTTTGTGACATCAAAAAATGTCATCGACTTTGTCTTACTATGAACTCCTGTCTAGTAAGATATTAATAGAACCTTGCAGATCATCAAGAACATGTACAATTTTCACGTTTTACCAGTTACATATCCTACCTTGTTTATTAAAGAACTAGAATTTGTTTTGACATGTCTTTTGTTTTTTACCAAAAGATAATGAAACATTCATAGTGACCGGGAAGAAAGCAAGCACTTGGATGGCCAAGGGAGACCACCATGTCTGATTTGCTCTGTGCAAGCACAAAGAATTGCAAAGATTATCAGTTATTGCCATGAAGATGTCCAGCTTTCCTTCAAGGCACCACACGGAGGATCAAGACCACAACGTGTTGAGGTACTACTCGAAAGGCAAATCATTTTCTACAGCTGTGTAGAGGAGGGCATATTCAATTAGCTTGCAGTCAGCCTCGGTAATCACTAATACAGTTCAAGCTGTGTTTTTTAAAAATTTAATTTTTTTTTAATTTTTTATTTTTATTAAAATTTAATATAATTTATATATTTAATATTTTTTAATATATTAATATTAAAAATAATTAAAATTATTTAAAAAATAACCGTTATCGTATTACCAAAAACACTCTAAACCAAATATATATTAATTCTAAGGTACTCGTTGAAAGGCAAATCATTCATTAACAATTATTGTCTCTTCCTTTTTTTTTTTTTTTTTGCAATATCAAAGACATATTCAATTCCTTTGATTAATTAATTAAAACTAGGTAATTTATATATTTAATTACCTTCCAAATCATGCCAAGGACCTAATAGAATTACATCAAATCAACTCTCTGTCCTGAGCAAGCCAAGTTAAATTTGATGTTCTTACTGATTTCTCTACCACTGCAATATTTATTTGTAATTACCGCATTTTGTTCCCAACATTTTTTATGACAGAAATAAAGTTACAATTTTACAAAGTACTTTCTTTTCTACACAATAACATGAAAAACCCAAATTAAAAGGAAAAAAACAACAGCTAGCATCCCGTTCAAAGCCAGTCCTTGTACACAACACAACCCAACTGGGTTATCCTCAAACTCACCGAGTCATACAACTCTGCCTCGGTTGCTGAATCGTCCTTGGACTCAGCTTCACATTCACAATCTTCGGTACCTTCTCCAAATACCTTGGTGCCTGAGCACGATCAAATTGATCCCTTTTCCACTTCAAAACTCCAAGCGAAACCAATTCCATGTTGCAACCCTTCACCTCCACCTCCACCTCCTCTCCTGCAACAAACACCCCCGGGAAAAAAGAGAGAAAATCGAGTTAGCGAGTTGACTCGGTGACTCAGGCTATTGAACACAAATTCTAATTTGTGGGAGGGCGCTTACCTTTCATGGTGTCGTAAGTTGGGTCGTCGAAGAAGAGAGAGTCGAGATCCTCGGAGAGGACAGTATCGTAAATATCAGAGAATAGAGGTTCAGTTTCGGGATCATGGAAACGTTCTTGGAGCCAGTAGTCTCGGAACCAAGGGGAGGAGCGGACAAGAGCCCACCATTGGTCGGAAAAATCCTCCACCGTTCGATATGACAGCGGGACGAACAACGGAGCGTTGGGATTTAAAGTTGATGTTGAGATGTGAGAAATTACATCCATTACCACTTGAAACAAGAAGAAAAGCTAAAGGAGAGGGGAGTGAAGGGTGGCTACTCGCATAACAAGAGCTTATAAAGGAAGAGGAGAGATTTTACCTGAAAATGGTGGGGTTTTAAATTTGGCCTTGGTTTAGGGTTCTATTACATTTCCTGAAAAAGATGTACTATATTTTATTGCCCTTTTTAATCAATCATTTCTCATATGTTAAAATTTAAGTTTTTTCCCGATTAATTTAAAAAACAGATCAATATTCGCAGATTAATGTTCCCTTCTCCTGATATATTTACTTTTGTTTGTTTGTCTTTCCATGTTCCTTTTCCTGTCTTGTCATATTTCTTTCTTTTGTTTTCTTGTTTTCTTATATTTTAGATAAAATGTTCGCGCAAAGTAATCATGAACTAAGGGTAAATAAATATCTTCCCCGCATAGAAACAAAAGAGGACTTGTAAGGAAAAAATGAAATTGTGGAATTTTGTTTTATTAGCAACATTATCTCTAACCAAAGTATGCCTCGTTATATTTTTATAATACCGAGGGCAATACCGGAACAACGGAATTTACTTATAACGGGCAGGTCAGTCAACAATAGGCAAAACTCACGGAGATGCCACCGCCCCTTGTTTCGCTATTAGAGTCCACTGCCTTGTGCAATCCTACAGTATCCCAAATGCATGAGGTGATGGCATTTTTGTTTGTGTTTGTATTTTAAAAAAATTAATTTTTCTTATTTATTTAAAATTAATTTTTTTAATATTTGCAAAATTTAAAACTAATTTTTTAAAATAATAAATATTATTTTAATATATTTACAAATAAAAAACACTTTAATGGCTACATTTCTAAACATCCCGCGTCATAACATAAGACGAGAAATAAAAAACTGACGTGTAATGTGAGTGGTGTTTCTGTAAAAACTGGAGTAACTTGGATCTATATCGGTACATGCAGGTGGTCATTCCTTTTCTTCTGTTTTTTTATCCCTTCTTCTGGGCTCTTATCCGCAGAGTAGACAACACGTCGCTGTTCTAATCCGATGTCTTTGACTCGTTACGTGGCAGTTTAAACGGACATATATATATATAGATATATATGGGCACAAGGCCCAAGACAAAACTAACAAGCAAACCTCGACCCCATGCACCAGTATAAATAATCTTTATACAGATTCTGCAAGAAAAGAAAAAAAATATTGTTTAACATTTATTTATTTTATCCAACTTGAATAATTGGACGAAAAATAAATATGAGAAAACTTGGATCCATATCATTCGATCCAAATAGGAAAAAAAGAAATAAAAAATGTCATAAATTCGAGCTTGGGCCGAGTGGGGGATTTGCTTGCTTCTAGCGATATTTCAAGTCCGGTTTCAGTGCTGGTGGGTTCAACAGCAAATCATGAGAGCGCGTCGCAGCAGTAGTTCGAATTAATGATTTGCAAATAATCAAGTTACATAGAAATAATGGCTAGAGAAAGCTGCACGTGACATGAAAAATGGACGCAGTTTCCTTACAATTCCTTGTGAACCGAAGCTTCGCCTCTCCATATAACTTCAACTAATGGCGGTTTAGTTCCTTGGTAATACGGGGACGTAGATTGCACAACTTTTTTGATAAAAATTAAAAAAAAGAAGATTGCATAACTTATCAATTCTTTTAGGAGATATCTTTGATATTTGAAAACACAACTTCTTGTTATATTACAAGTTGTATATATTTAATCTACTGCTTTCGATTAAAATTTAAAATTTATTTTGCAAAGGTATGATATTTTGACCTTCCAAAATTTCTATACTTGGCGATATTGTAATTGTTTTTTCAGTAAAAAAAATTAAACCATGTTAGACGCTAATGTAATACTTTATCAAACTCATTTTTATTAGACTCGGTTACATCTAAAATCCAAGCGTTTATGGATATAGTATATTGCTAGACCCCACCTAATCAAGTCTTTTTTAATAAATAAGTGTTCAAAGTAAGAATCTAAGATTATCATCTCTTTATTTTCTAAGCAGGTCAAAAGATTATTTAAAGACCTGCTTAGAAAATATATATATAATAAGATTGAGATTGCAAGATCTAAACAATTCTGAACTTAGAGCAAGAAATAAAGCCAAAGGTCATCCACTAACCTGAACCATGGCTGCATTAATAAAAGGGTTCGTGTCACTTGGTTCAGGAGATGGTCAGTAGAGAAGTTGGGTTAGCATTGCAATAAGCATGAAATTGAGCAACTCGTGATGTAGAAGGTATGTGTTTGAACTTGGAACAAGAATAACGCATTTTAGAAGATCAAATTGCACAAAATCTTAACACAGTGAGCATGGTGAGAAATCCATGGTGTACCTTACTTCAACAGAGCATGGAACAAAAGTACACTATGCATGACAAGATTTTCGATGTTTTGATCCGCACATGCAACAAATTCAGCATACAATGATTTACATGTACTGGAAAGCATAGCTGTCAAACAAAAACTTCAATGGAACTGAAAGCAGAGAGTTTATAGTACACAATTGGCATTCTTAGGGCTTGAATAAATATATTCTATCAGTAAACACCAAGATCTGTCCTGAAATTATTCGTTGAAAGTCCAAAAGTTCAAATCTAACTTTCTTTTGACCTCCTTTCCATAATTAATCTGCTGTTTGAGGATGTATAGCCAACCACAAAGGCAGGAGTTCAGCAGTTCTTCACCTAAATATTTGGACTTGTTTAAACTTTCAGAAACTTCTATGACAATTGCATTTCTTTGCATAACCTTAATGCAGATCTAGTTTCCAATTATAGAGTAAAACTGTAGCTTATTGGCACCCATTTCGCCATTAGATTTTTTTCCTGCGAAGAAAAGATGGCCAAACTACGCCTATTCAAAAACAATAATAGAAGAGAACAGGTTAAACACTTAAATGTTGCTGACTATGGATGCTTTGAAACAAACCGACACCCTGACATTCAATTTGCACTACTTACCAAATAACAAAAATGAAACACCTGTGTTGAAATCATTAGATGATGGTTCGCTTACATTCAATGACAAATACAACTCCTCAATGCTATTATTGCTTTGAGCATTTTCAATTAAATACTTCAAAAAAACAGATGAAATGTAAACCGCATTAACAGCCTTCGCATAAACCTCCAAAGGTGCAGCAGAATTCGAAAAACACCTTTGCAAACACCATGATAAGTGAATCAAAATCTTCGCCAGATGCCTAGTATAACAATTATTTTGTGCTGCATAATTTTTTTTTTTTTTGTTAAAAATACATAATTTCTATAATTATAGTTCCAATAAACAGAGAAGCGAATGCACTAAAAAATGATGAAGAGCATGGTTAGTGTGCGAATAAAGTAACAATTAAAGCAAATACAGATCATATAATGCAGGATAAGATGTTAATGAACAGAGGAGGTTTCGTGATAAACTGACCGAAGAGCTTGCCGGCTTCATGGAGATAACCTATAGGAGACGTCTTCTCACCGACAAATGAACTGATTAAATACTCGGTCGTGAGCACTGATGACTGGAGTGAAGACTGGACTGATCGTCGCCGCTTTTGTGGTTGCCGGTTAGTTAATAGAGAAGGAGATTAGGGATTTGTTCTCATTGAAAAGGAAGAAAGGCGATGCATTTACTGGAGCGAAGACTGGAGACTCGGGAGTTACTGTTCATTTACCCAGCCAATAGGCGCTGGACAGCTGGAGCATGGAGGGAAACATTTACTCCCGTTTATACGGAATCGGTCCTGAACTCGTAATTGTTTACGATTTCATCCGATTTTAACGATTTTACCCGATTGCATCCATTTTCGATTTTTTCAAACAATTCAGCACGTAAAGCATGTTTTGACTCAATTTTAACAACCTTGCTCACCGATACTATACAAGAAATCAAAACAAAATGCACCAAAGAAATTACTGAACCCAAGCGGAAGAGAAATCACGACCAGCGAACAGTCCCAAATATTTTAATCTCTGAAGAAAAAAGTCACACAACATCAAACCTTTAATGCCACCGCAAACTCTCCTAATTCCTCTTATGTGGAGGTGCAAACAGTCACAGAACTGGATCTTAATTAATATCTGAAATTAATGGCATCTGAGTGAAGCACGGGCGGTATGCAATGCCCCTGCACCCAATATTGCCATCATGTCAAATTTATGCACATTTTGTTTTGTTTATCTGTTATTTAACCGATTATTAAATCTTGAAAAATCCAAATTTGGAGTTAGTTGTCGAGGAAAATCTAAATTTACTTGGAGATTTAGTTGAGAATAGACAATTTGATTTTCTAAAAACGTTGACAGAGTTTCAAATCAATGTTAACGATTTCTAGATTCACACACACGCACGCACACAAACACATCACATGTACAGAAAACATGAGTTGGTCTGTCTCAAGTTGAGTCTACCTAAAAAAACAAAACAAGAGTTGGTTACACAACTGGAAACCAAAATTGTAGCTGCCAAAACTGTAAACTAATAGCTAGCAGAAACTATGCCAACATGCTGTAAACAAAACAAATGTCTTCAATATATCTATTATATAATCGACCACCCCTTTCATTTCTTCAGTTTAACGTGTATATATTCTTTTATATTCTCTCTCCTTCTTCTTCTTTTAAAACTAGGAAATAATTGAGCAGGCTCGTTTATGGACTTCAAGCCAAGAAACATCGTGAACGTAAGCGGAGATTGCTTCGACCATGTTAGAGTTTTCTCTGATGGAATGTGGAATGTAAAACGTGGGGAAAGTATTCTTCAGCATTCATTGGTTCGTTTCCATGTTCAATTGATTGTGATTTTCCTGCTTGTGAACTCTTTTCACTTGGTGCTCCAACGATTCCATTTTACCCATTTCACCTCCGAGATCCTGGTAATATATCTGAGCATTACTACTACATGATTTGCAATTCTATTTGTTATGCATATCATGGCATTGATTGTAAACTAAAGGTCCATTCTTTTTTTAAATTTTTTTTTTTGCACGGGACACCAATGGTGGTTTAACAAACAAATTGATGTGTTTGTTCGTTGCTGATCTTTCCTTTTCATTTACTTTTGGAGTTATAAAAATGGTTTAGTTTTTATCTCAACCTGTTAGTTTGTGTTGCTAATTTTCTCTCTTTAATGTTAACCAGGCAGGTATAGTATTGGGACAAACTGTATGGGGAGACAAGGACAAATCAGAGCGCTTGTTCCCAACAGTAGTGCGCAATCAAGTCTTTGCTTCATTATCAAAGATTGGTTACATTCTGTTCTCGTTCTTGATTGGTGTGAGAATGGAACCAAGTTTGATATGGAAAACAGGAAGAACTGCCACTTTTTTAGCGACTCTGCTGTTCATATTCCATCACATAGCAATGCTAAGCATCGAGATCACGTTTGATAAAGATAAGGAGAAGTTAACTGCGGGATTCGTGCTTGCGAAAGAAGCATTTTCAGCTATATATTTTGCAGCGATAACCACTACCGAATTTGTTATGGTCAGTACCATTTTAATGCAGCTTAAGATAATAAATTCGCAGCTTGGACACCTTGCTCTAGCATCCTCATTGTTATTCAAACTGGCAACCTTTGCAGTAGGAACTTTGTTTGGTTTCATAAATGCTTTTGTAAATATATCGTCTCAAGTGGGAGCTCGGATCGTTATTTATTCTCTTGCACTTATCGTGTTTATTGTAGTCGTGTCGAGGAAAACAATGCTCTTCTTCATTAGAAGCACACCAGTAGGTAAGCCTATGAAGGAAATCTACACCACTATGACTGTAGGCGTACTATTTTTATTGTCAGCAATTGGTGACGAAGTAGGACTGCATTATATGTATGGCCCTTTAATACTTGGCCTGGCAGTGCCTGCACGGTCTCCTTTAGCTGAAGTCCTAGTAGCAAAGTTCGATACATTGGTTTCAGGATTTTTTCTACCACTCATGGCGGTGTTCTGTTCCTCCAAACTCAATTTATTTCAGCTTATCCACGAGTTTAAGGATGCTGTTCATCTCCAGATTTCGTTGATTGGATATGTGATGAAGCTGCTGGTAACTTTTATCGGGGCGTATTTTTGCAAGATACCTTTAAGACATGCCATTGCCCTCGCAATCATCTTGAATGCCAAAGGCATTACTGAAATTGCACAATTTTTAAGCTTCGGTGACATTACGGTACATCTCGCACTACGTTCTATTATTTAGAATTTAAATACCAGTGGATGTTTGTGAAACAAGCACCTAATAACTCTATCTGCATTCGTTTCCATTAAAAATTCCCAACTTGTGCTAACGTGTCATTGCTTTTTCTCTCATTGAGATTGCTTCTTTCTCTCAGGACCTAGACGCAGCCTCTGGAATTTTCTTAGTATTTCTGTTACAAGCATTTCAGCCACTCCTTATTAAAAAGCTTTACAATCCTGCAGACCAATACATTGGTTACCAGAATAAATCCATTGAGAAGGCTTCTGATGATGCGGAGCTCCAGATACTTGCCTGTGCACACAGGCAAGAGGATGCTGTTGCGGCAATCAAGCTCTTACAGTACTCCAATCCTACAAAACAAAGTCCCTTGTCCGTTTATGTACTTTGCTTGGAGGAACTCGTTAGCAGTTCCACCCCTCTTCTAATCAATCACCAATTAGGCCAAAAAATGTCCTCTTACAAGGTATCCCGCTCGCAACCAATCATTGATATCTTCAAGTATTTTGAGTCACAGTACAAGAAGTTTGTTCGGGTGAATATGTTCACTGCCGTATCGCCACTAAAACAGATGCATGAGGACATTTGTTGGCTCTCTTTTGACAAGGCTTGCTCCCTAATAATACTTCCATTTCATAAGAAATGGAATAGCAAAGGCAAAATGGTTTCCAGCAACACTGATACAAGGAACTTGAATATTACTGTACTGGAAAGGGCACCTTGTTCTGTTGGCATCCTCATTGATCATAGTAGAACCCAGGGCTTGTCTTCTATCTTCCTTGCGTCAACATATCGTGTGGCTGCACTGTTCTTTGGAGGCCCAGATGATAGGGAGGCAGTTGCTTATGCCTTAAGGATGGCAGGAAGATTTGGAATTCATTTAACAGTTATGCGTTTTATCACCCCTACTACTGAGCAAGTCTATCATGATTGGGATTACATGCTTAACAGTGAATTTTTGAGAAACTTGAAACTTGGAGTGTCAGAAAGTAGTAGTATCAATTATATCGAGGAGACTGTGAGAGATGGAGCTGACACATCATCCATAATTAAGTCAATGGTGGGGGGTTATGACCTTATCATGGCAGGGCGGCGCCATCAAACTGAGCCTCAAGCTTTATCAGGCCTATCAGAATGGATGGATTTGCAAGAACTTGGGCCGATAGGGGACCTGCTTGCTTCTGAGGATATTACTAGTGCAATTTCAGTTTTGGTGATTCAACAGCAGATCATGAAAGCAAGTCACAGCAGTACTTTGAATTAATGATTTGCAAGCTGTACACTTGCATTAGATGGCGAGAGAAAATACTGCACGAACTGAGAATTCTCCGCTTCTTTTATCATGACATGAGAAATTATGAATATCTGCTCATTACAAACCTCGAGAAGCTACGCTTAACAGGAACACGGAGGATTTGACTATAATTGATTTCATTTCATCTATTGATCGAAGAATTGATTTCTGCACCCGCAACATTTAGGGTGCCGACAACTCCATGCTACGTGACCGTTGGGAACCTAATATCCCCAAAATCCCAGCTCTACAAAGCCATCTTCCCTCCAGAAAACAAAGGAGGCGGTTAAGAGAAGGGACGAGGAAAGGCAGAGGCAATTGAAAAAAAATAAAATAAAAAATTACGTGGATGATGAAAGGTTCAAGGATAAGGCGAAATCTTGATATTACCCTCGCATTTGTGAGGGTGGTAAAGGAGATTCAATTTAGAATTTTATCTAGTTGGTCCGAAAATGTTGAGTCGTTGCTCTGAGGGTAATATGATAAATTTACAAAATCTTATTTATTTTTTATTTAACATTAAACAAAAAAACTTTATTGAATCCAATTGTATTAGATTTGTTCCAATCCATAAGAATTGAATTCAAAACCAATTGGTTTCATTGTTTATATGCAATTTTACGAGAGAAAGGGTGCCAAACATGCAGTAAATGTGCACTGATGTAGAATTCTCATAGTCTTGATTTTAGTTTATTATTATCAATAGTGGTTTATTTTTATTTTTTATTATTATTATGGAACATGATCCATAAAGATTGTGCAAAAATAATTCAACTTCTTTTAGAAACATAAGAAATCCCATCCACATGCATCCCTTGAAGCTAATAAACACATAATTGCATTCTCATTATTAATTTAAATTATAATATATCATAAATATAACCACTTATTAATACTAGCCAGTACATAATTTATTGCAATTCTTTTGTTCGATCGCTACGCTATTCGATAATTCAATTATTATATTCCAAATTATGCCATGGATGTATTTATACAAACAACCCAACTATATTATCCACAATCAACTAAAACCTCCGATAGGAGCAATTAATACTATTGTTTTTAAAGTATTTTTTATTTAAAAATATATTAATTTTTTTTTATTTTTCAAAAATTATTTTTAACACCATCAAATTAACACAATCAATCAATATATATATATATATATTAGATTTTTTTTATAAATAGCGTTTGAAATGCAATTTCAAACTGTATCCAAATCCAGCCTTTGTGAACAAACAGCTAATCAGTCCATCATCAACTTGCCGAAGTGCACAACTCTAGCTAAGCTTTTGAATCGCCCTTGATCCCATCTTCAAATTCACAATCTACGGTGCCTCGTGAGACCGAGGAGAATGTGAGCTGAAACATCATCCATGATTCAATCATCGGTGTGGGAGATTATGACCTCATCATGATATGACATCGATCTCCAAGAAACTGTACAGCAAGCTTTGTTCGGCCTATCAGAATGAATTCAGGGATCTTCTCGCTTATGAAGATATATCTAGAACAGTTTCAGTCTTGGCTATCCAACAGTAAATTCTTGAAGTAAATTGGAGTACTACTATGAAGTGATGATAATTCAAAGTATACCTTGCTTCGAAGGGCTACAAAAAAACTGCATAATTTCTCTTTATTACATGTAAAACACGTTACAATCCTTCTGAAGCTAACCTTGAAGTATGTTAAGCTTAGATACGCTGGCAAATTGATATTGTATGCATGGCCTTGTAGTGGACTGATTGCACATCCAATCTTTACTTCCTTCGCAATATCAGCAAACCGGATTTCATCCCTTCCTTGAACTTAATCCCATCTAATTCACTACTAGCTAGCCTACATAGCTTAAAAATTTCTGGTGCAATGGGTTTGATTTATTATAATGCGGTCTTCGAAATCATCAGCTGACTCCTGTGAGATAGCATAATCAATGGTAGAGATTTTGCATCAGAAGGATGGAAAGAAGTCCTTAATGTAAAAGGAGAGATAATTAGACTTTGTAGCATTTCATATATGCATAAATTACTAGACAGTATTTTCCTTGCCACTCTTGACCTATTTGCATAGATGTTACCTGGTCTTTGTTTTTCAACCAAATGGAAGAAATACATGTAGCAGAGCAGGACTTCACTTGGAAAAAAAACACTGAAGAAAAAGAATGCCAATTTACTGGTATAAACCAGTCTGGGGTTGCTTACATATTCCAAACCATTTTCTTTTTTTGGTTGGCAACACGAAACAGATTGTCCACTAGAGTGAGAATGGGAAGAAGAATCAACCGTCCTTTTTTCTTTTTTCTCAATAATGCTGCTGAAGATAGATATCATGTCTTCTTAAGATATCCATAAGTGTAGCAGAGTATATGAGACTCTGTGTTACAGAAATGTTGCATAAACAATAGTGTTACCCCCTGGTGTGCAGAGTATCAGCGGGATAAACAGAATCTGTGGAAGAGCTTTATGTCAGGTTTGGCTTTGAGGCTTGCTTGTTGCTCCACAATTTATGGAGTTGGGATGGAAAGGAACAGGAGAGTTCATTCTAATGAGATAATGGCTGTGGGAGATTTTAACATGGGAGATTTTCCAGAATGTTCAATAGAGGCTCCATAATACTCACGTTCTGCAGAAAGCCGTTCTAATTAATTCTACTTTCCTCAATGTTTTCAATAATTGTTTCTTAGCTTTGTAGCAGGAATGAGCTTCTACTCGTTCCTTTTTTATGGATAAAATATTTCTCCAATAAAAAAAATAAATAAAAAAGACTTCACTAGATGTAATTGATTCTTGCATCAAAGGATGTTTATGTAGATTTGGTCTTTGAAGAGAGATGAAAATTTTGATAGAAGTGAACTGATGAATAATTTTTCTCGTTAATTTTCGCAAACAGAATGAATACATAGGAAAGCCTCACGTAGTTTGATGATGGATATTGTGAGCTGTAAGAGCGTGAGAAGTCAGAATAAAATCTTTGGTTAATTTCCTATTGTAATGTTAGGATTAATTTAGAAGGGAGGTATTGGATCTAACTTGAAAAAAGAAAAAAGGGCAGGAATCCCATGTTGGCTTAGGTAGTACCCAATACACGTTGGTTCATTTGAGGTCAATTGCCACAAATACAAAACGCAAAATATGGGGTTGGTCTCACGATCTATCTCCACCTTTTATGCGTGGCTGGCTTCATGCCTTGTAGTTCGTTCTTCTCCTCTTCGTTTTCTGCTCTTTTTTTACCCTTCTTCTAAAGAGGAAGCATTTAAGCAATACCCATGGCAGAAAACGCGACTCATGACCTGTTTTGCCACACTATCAATTCATTGGATGACTTTCCTATCTGGCGCAATTTCACCGCGAAGATTGTTGATGGCTCTCCCGCTCTTTTTATGTTTCAGATGACAATTATTTCCCTGGTATCAAACTTATTGGAAATCTTTCTCAGGCCTCTTGGACAACCGAGTTGCGTTTCCCAGATATTAGTATGGTTTCTTCTCTCTTTTGCTGCATTGTGAATATCGTATATACTAAGAAAACGTCTGATCTTTAATTGTAAAGGTTTCAAGTTTGCTCCAAAGGAACTCTGCACTTGTTGTCCGTCAATTTTTTTGTTTTTGGTTTTGAAAGATGGCAGAAACCAGTTGCATATAAATTCTCTTTCGAATTTATGATATATATCGTATTTGTACCAAAGTCTATCATGTACGTAAGAAATGTATAATGACAGGTCCTATATCTAACAAATTTTGCATGCATGTCGACAGGCTGGTATGATATTTGGTCCTTCACTCCTCGGGCAAAACAAGAAGTTGCTAGATACCATGTTCCCTATAAGAAGTTTGGCAACTCTGTGGACAGTGGCATCATTTGGAAATTTATTCTATACCTTTCTAATTGCAGTGAAGGCAGATCCTGCAATGATGCTAAAGCCAGGTCGAGCTGCTATGTATATAGGCTCCTCTATGTTCTGCATCACTTTATTTCTTTCCCTTGCACTATCATTCTTATTGAAAACCGTTGTCACCATGGAAGCTAATCTCAATAAATCGATCGTCTTCATAGCTGCATCACAGTCATTTACAGGTTTTCCAGTCGTTGCTGCCTTCCTAACTGAGCTCAAGATCCAGAACACAGATGTTGGCCGCCTAGCCCTTGCTTCAGCAGTATTTTCTGATTTAATTGATATTGTTGTGGCCGCAATTTCGCTCACACTTGGGGATGTCGTTTCTCACCCACTTGCGCCAGTGCAGGCAGTCCTATCAAACATTGCATTTGTTATTGTTATCGTGTTCATCATCAAGCCAATGGTAATGTGGATGATGGGTCCAATAAAAGAAATGAAACTTGTGGGTGGGAAATGCATTTTTATCACCACCGTTGTCACTCTACTCCTCGCATCTGTGAGCGAGATCGTCGGCCAGCATTACGTCCTTGGGCCATTGATTTTTGGCTTGGCTTTACCGATCGGACCACCTTTTGGAGCAACTTTGGTATCGAAGCTAAGTACTTTAGTTTGCGGTCTCCTCTATCCCGCTTACCTTGCTGTTACTGGTCTGCAGACCAATATCTTCAAAGTTGATTTTCAGTCTGCAATTATTGTGGGGATAGTTATGGTTTCTGGTATCATAATTAAGTTGGGAGCAGTCATTTTGCCAGCCTTGCATTCTCAGGTGCCCGTTCGAGATGCTTTTCTGCTGGCAATCATCTTGAATATAAAGGGGATTGTGGAAATCAACGTTTACAACTTCTGGAAAGATAACAAGGTCTGGTTAATTTGAAGATAGTTTAAATTCTGGTACTGTTGTAAGAGAGCCCCATGGCAACCTTCACGAGGCAAGAAAAGGAAAACTTTTGAATATATACATCCCCATTTGGGACACCCACGCCAAAAATGGCCCCAAATGATTTATAAGGTTTTTCTTTCCTTCCCCTTATTTGGGAAACAGAGGGGCCAAAAGAATATAATTAAAGTTTAAAGCACCTCTTAATTATTTCCTGAGAGCTAAAGCACCCTTCCTCTGGCTAGTGTAACGTGTTTTCCATTAAGTTTCTCTAAGAAGATCTATCACTTGTATCTTTTATTAATTTCCTTTCCATGCTAATCTACAATGGCCTGATAGGTATACATATTCTATTATTGCAGACTTTACATGATGGCGATTACGCTTTGTGCATAGTTTCGGTGATTTTAACAAATGTAGTTGTTGCCCCATTGGTGAAACTACTCTACAATCCTTCAAGGCAATACCATACTTTGAAGAGAAGCACCATCCAACATTGCAGGGGAGATTCAGAACTTCGGATGCTGGTCTGCATCCACAACCGTGAGAATGTCCCTACAATCATAAACCTTCTAGAAATATCACACGCCACAGAAGAGAGCCCTATAGCAGTCATTGGATTGGTGCTTGTCAAGATTGAGGGACGAGCTGCCCCAATCCTAATAGCAAACAGCCGAAAAGGAGTCCCGGAGGCAGAATCATCCAGTACAACCAGCATCCTCAATGCCTTAAGGAACTATGAGCAAAATCATCGGAACTCCTCCACCGTCCAATCATTCACCTCAATCACGCATTTTGAAACAATGCATGATGATATTTGTCGTCTGGCAATGAACAAGAGAGCCACTATTGTGATCATGCCGTTTCATAAGAAATGGGCCATCGATGGCTCCATCGAATCTACAAGCCGTTCTATCCAACAAATGAACCGCAAAGTCCTCAAAAACGCTCCATGTTCTGTTGGAATTCTCATTGACCGTGGAATCTTAAACGGGTCATTATCTGTATTGAATGGTAGGTTGTTGTTCAATGTTGCTGTTCTATTCTTTGGCGGCCCAGATGACGCGGAGTCACTAGCTTATGGAGCTCGCATGGTGAGACATGGATGTGTAAAGATAACAGTCGTGAACTTCCTTCTCTTTGGAAATGCAAACAGTAAAGAAAGGAAGCGAGACAGCGATTTAATCAATGAATATCGACAAGGTAACTTGGGAAATCAGCATTTTTTGTATTTCGAAGAAGTGGTAAGAGATGGGGTAGAGCTCGCTGGATGTCTGGCAAAGATGGTGGGCTGTTTCGATTTAATTTTAGTGGGGAAATATCATCAGAAGTCTCCTCTTTTTATAGGCCTTGAAGAGTGGAGTGAGTGCCCTGAGCTCGGGGTCATTGGCGATATGCTTGCTTCACCAGATTTTGAGTGCACTGCAACAGTCTTAGTCGTTCAGCAGCCAAGAATGAGAGTGAACGAAACGGAGCCGCTTATTCATGACGCGCCAGACGATAACAGAGTATGCCTTTCGATGCAGAGAAGGAATTAGAGAATATTTTAGGATGTCATTATTGTTGTTATTATTATTAGTTTTTAAGCCTAATATGTTGCTCCCAGCTAGAGGAGCAAATTGGACCTTTCACACAATTTAATAAATATATAAATATGCAGTGGAAAAACAAGAAGAAGAACCCATAAACTGAGAAGAGATGAAACCCAAAGAAAGAAAGAAAAAAAGAGAAAGGGAAGAGATGGATACTTTGATATACATGATTTTTTGTTGTTGAATTATGTTTTTGAATTGTGGTGGCTGATGAAGATTTGAGTTTTGTGTTTTTAAATTTGATAGGATAATTGATTGATTTTATATTATTTTATTAAAAATAATAATTTGAGATTAATTCGTTGTAATTAATATATTAGAAAAAAAAATCTTAATACATTACAGGAAATTACTTCTTTTACGCTGGTAAACACCACCAAACAAGATAATAAAAATACAACTAATTTAATAGCTTGTATAGCTTGTGTGACACTATATTTTAAAAATATTTTAAAAAAATTTAAATTTTTTATTTTAAATTAATATATTTTTAATGTTTTTAAATTATTTTTAATTTATTAATCTCAAAAATAATTTTTAAAAAATAAAAAATAATATTAACATACTTTTCTAAATTAAAAACACTCTAAGAAATAACTCTATTTTCAAACATATATATTAACAGCTGAGAGGATTTTCACCAAAAACCTCCCTTACCTAGTTAAGGCTTGAATTTATCAAAAACCAAAAAATAAAAAGTCCACAGATATAAATTTTCATACAATCAAATTATCTTAATCCAAATAACAATATTTCAATATATAAATCATAATTGAAAATCTATAATGAGATAAACAACCTTGGATCTCCGGATCATGGTCCATCATTCATAATTGGTCAACATATTTTTCCTGCATTTAATAATCTATATGCCTAATATACAAATAATCTGTGGAAAGAATGAGTTTTCACGACTACTGAGTAATCAAAATAAACCCATCACAACCTTTCCAAGGTATATATATCAGTTTATATTTTTGGTTCCACGTTTTGCACATCGTAAATACACACATAAAATACATCACTGACACGCCCTGCGTACAAACATCAAATGCATCACTCCCGAGAACAGTTTCGGCTCCCGACTACTGGGAATTCCGAGCTTCTTGTTTAATTGATACTCTTTTTTCTTAAAAAAAAGAATTGTCCTGAGATTTTCTGGACATATGGTATGAGCTTGCTTGTGATGGGCTACTGGCATGCTCAGATTTGGGCAGCCCACTGCCGTTTTAATAGGCTTTGAGGGATATCTATACATAGGTATTGAGCGAATTCAGCTGATTTGCCATATCTCAAAGGAAGCTGGGTCTTGTTACTATTTTCTGTTGCCGCTGCCAGCCATTGAGATTTGAAGAGAGCATCTTAGAGAAAAGAAAGAGAATATAGATATCGCCTAACTAAAGAATATAATCATGTCGTATAGAGCTGAAAAGCACAATTTGATTCTCCAACATGACAAAGGCCACATCCATTGTTTGGTATCCTCACTCTTTTAATTTCCTTGGTGAAGGAAATGATTCATTTCTTAGCGGGGTTTTTCTTTTTTTTTAATAATTAATGCAGCCATATCCAAAAGTACGTGACTGAACATCAACATTAGTTGATCTTTATTGGTACATGTTCGAATCCAACCTTTTCAACTTGATGTTTACCAAACTGCCGGGATTGTGCAAGTTTTTATCTGCTTCATCAGTTGCTTGCCACTCAAGTTTCCTAAAGAAAAATTCCTGTATTTTCTTAGTGGATCCTGCAGCCAAATACGGGTCCGCCGATAGTGGCGTGTGTGGGTAATTTGTATCCCTGACCAGGACGGCGCGTGCAACATGATGCTCTGCAATGGTTTTTTGCTTGGGACAGCCTTTTTTTCCCTGAATATCTATGGGCTGTCCTAGCCCTGGTTTTCTATCCAAATAAATATTTTTAATAATTTATCTTTTAATTGGTTTATACTATAATAATATTAAAAATAAAATTTTAAAAATAAAAAAATATTTTTTTAATATATTTTTAAATAAAAAATATTTAAAAAATAATAATAATTATACTCTCGAACCTTGCGTTAGACTTATAAATTTCAAACTTGCAACTTTTATTTTTTAATTTGAAACTTAATTCATATCAAATTAATAAAAAAATCATTTTTATATCAAAATGATGTTAGTATAATTATTTTTTAAAAAAATTCAAAGATTGATTTGAAGTCCTAGATCGAATTCTAAATAAGTTCTTATAACTATGATCTTTAGGAATGCTATTGATTTTTGTCTGCAAAATGAACTCTAGAGACTTCTTTTTTATAATCTGTCATTGTATTATTATTATTTAGAATAATCCCAGTTTAATAATATAAATATAAACCGATAATGCTGCTGCTTAATTTCCAGTATGGGAGAATCTGATTCCATAAATAAGAATCATGAATAATAAAATAGGCCTATCCAAATTGTCTTGATTGGCAAATTAAATATGATTGTAGTCCTCTCGCACGTTGCCTAGAGAAGATCAGCCATAGCTGGAGATAAATAAGAACTGGTATTGTACAAGAAGAACGATGCTCAAAGTTCAAGTATAACTAAAAAAAGTGGCTTAGCTTGAGAAAAACAAATTGGCGCAGGATCATGCACACGCACACACACCACTTAGCAAAAGGAGCCTGTCCACGTCAAATGCTAAACACCAGAAGAATAATTACAGGTGGGTCTACCGGTTTTGATAGTAATATTAATTAAGCCATAAAGTATTGCAGAGGATTAATTTGTAACTGAGTAATGCTAATTATTTGTAAAATGGAAAAGGTAAGGCAGTGAAGAAAGCTTGTTAGTTGTATGATCCATATCGCCGCAAGAGAAGCTAGCAATACATTAAGCTGTGACAGCTGATGGGTAGAAATAAATGACAAATTTAATCAGCACTGTGACGTACAACTATATATAATATATCCTTTTGCTTATTTTTGGAAATATATCTTTCCAGGACGTTAAACCTATTGATTTGCATTGCATACGACTCTCGATTGAAGTTAGATTACTGAATTCCAGCTATTAGTTGTAATCTTCTTTTGCAAATAACGAAGAAAACTTAATATTTAGAGGGTAAGTGAACCGGTTAAATTTTCATGAATTCAAGTTTTATTTTAAAATTATTAAAAATTTATATAATTATTTACTTCAATGAGATATGTTTATTAATAATAATAATAATAATAACTTGTAAATTGTAGCTCTCAGTACTTTTCCTCACTGTACACACACGACACAACCAGAAAGGAATTACTCAATTGTTTTAGTTATAATCATCAAGACTACTATAATTAATTTTATATTGTATGGATATAATATTCCGTAGGTAATTAAATAATAATTCCATCAGCATGATTTCTAATTAATTTTTTGATAAAAAAAGATAATTTTATTTGTATTTACTAGTTTTTTGATGATATATTTAATTCTCTAATAAAAAATACATGATTGTATTATATATTTATTTGGAAGTGTGATTGCACGGTTATTTTTTAAAATATTTTTTATTTTAAAATACATCAAATTAATAATTTTTTATTTTTAAAAAATTATTTTTGATATGGATGTATTAAAACTATCTAAAATATATAAAAAATAAATTTTAATAAAAAAAATTAAAATTTTTTAAAACACAGGCCTGCTTAGATTTCCAAACACTCTCAATATTGACAGTAAAATTAATAACGCCATGCAGTAACATAATCATGCTTTGAAAGGATTTAGGCATCTGATGCTTGCTGATCAACCAAAAACTGGCCAGAACTTTCCCCTTAATTGTATCATATGCATATATAGCAAGTACAAAGGACTTGGACATTTCGCAGCATGCATAGCGGATTAAGCTGGAGTGATTCCATGCTCATTTTCTTGTACAATTAACCATCTTTCAAGTATTCCCCTAGGCTAAGCAGGATTTCAGCACTATCACCGAACCTTTTAATTAATATTATTTGCTTCGCTTTTGACATTTCTTCCCAATTAGAATCTTAACTTTATTTACTTTCATGAATGAAGTTGTCTTTAAATATGAAGTTTATCTATCAAATTGTTGAAGAGACAAGCAGGGAGAGTTCAACTTAGGCTGCTGCTTTCATGGCTTCGTGTTGCTATCCTGATGTTCTTGCTTGGATTCAGAACCTTCCACCAATCACTCGATGGAAAGAAAAAAATCCCCCGTCCATATGCATATGTTCTTCCGGCTCTTTCCAGCTATCCCTCAATCTTTCTGTGGCCAAAAACCTACAATCCCCAACTATTTCCTTCTCTATCATTGCAGATCTCAATCTCCCTATATCTCTTTGGTCCTCAAAACCAATCAAAACCAACCCCAAATCATTGAAGTTATTAGATGATGAAACAATTTCTAGTCTCTCAATCAATCTTATTGAAGATGTCCTTGGTTATGCCTCAGACAAGTCATGTAGCTCCTCCACCAAAGTTCTCAAAACGGATTCCGTACTTTCCCACTTAAAAGATACGTTCAACCTTGCATTTCTAACACTCTCCCTCCTCATTTGCATCTACGAAGCTCCTGCAGATCTACGCTCTGAATGTCTTGCTAGTCTCAAGAATCAATTGACTGATAGCCAGTTGCGGGAAGCATCAAAGTTACTCATGAAAATCATGGGATCCAATCTAGAAGAGCAGTGGATGAGGTCCATAAATCTTGCAATCACAAACTGGATTGCAGAGCTCCAAGCTTCCCACCACACTCTCAAAACTCCATCACCACTCTTTTCTTACTCATTTTCAACACCAGGATTATGGAAAGTTCAATTATATTGTCCTGTCATAGCCATGGATATCGAAAGTTCAAGCAATCCTCCAGCTCACGAGAGGCTTCTCTTCTCCCTGAAATACCACCAACTTGAATGTGTCATCCAGTTTAACTACAAAGTCATCGTTCAAGAAAATTGGGTGGATGTGATTGTAAACACGGATAACATAAGGTACTGATAATATATATTTCTTTAGGCATATGTGGACCGTATTGAAATGAATTAGTATTATTCTTGGTGGCCTAATGATCTTCAACTTTAATCAGAGATATTCCTAATTTTGCTAGGTGTGATGTAGTCCGACTAGTGAATGAAACTCTCATGACTGAACAAGGAGTTGGGACTGATGAGAAGCATTTCCCTTCGAGAATATCGTTGCATCTCACTCCAATTCTGCAAACCAACATAATAAGCGTTTCAGTAGGCAAGTCTTCAGCTAATCCAACAAGAGAGATTGAAACGGAAAAAGGTATAGAAGCTTCTTTTGATCCACCAAACAGTTTTCTGGGGCTGAAGGTCTCGGCAGGAGAGACAGTGTCAATGAGCTTGAAGCCTTGGAAGTTTGAGCAATCTGTTTATGGTTACAGTGCAACAATGAATTGGTTTCTTCATGATAACATGGATGGAAGAGAGGTTTTCTCGAACAAACCTCCTAGGACGGCATTTATCAAACCCAAGGCATGGTTCAAAAACCGGTACTCAAGCTCTTACCGGCCTTTCACCAGGCAAGGAGGGGTGATCTTTGCCGGTGATGAGTATGGAAAGAGCGTGCAGTGGAAGGTGGACAAGAGTACCATGGGGAAGACAATGGAATGGGAAATTAAAGGGTGGATTTGGTTAACGTATTGGCCTAATAAGTATAGAACAGCGTATAGTGAGACTAGGAGACTGCAATTTAAGGAAATTCTTCATCTTAGTATTCCACCATCCTAAATTATCAGTTTCTTAACTTCTGTTCCAGCTAGAATTAATTAAGAAGCGTATATCAATGTGTATTTATGAACGGACGTCGAAATGTAATAAATATCATAAGCAAGTGCGGATAACTTTCGAATAGGGGAATGAATGCTCGAAAAAAAATCAAATATATCGACTTGAATTGAGATCAATATTGTACAGTCTCTTATAGCTATTAATGATATGCTACCAAAATGCATTGTTTTTCTTAAAGCTGTTAGTTTAATATCTTCTTGGGCAACCCAACACCAAAAGGCATATCTCGAATTCACTCGGCAAAAAAAATAAAAAATAATAAGATAAGAAATACCTAGCACATATTATATCCGTGTGACAAAGCAATGAAGCAAGTTTAAAATGTAATTAACTAAATTTAATCGTGCCACTAATGTATACAACTTGTCTTATTAAGATTTTAGCCCTGGTTAAAAATTATTTTCGAGGGATGAAACCAAATAGGTTTATTTTTGTGTCTCCCTCGAAACACCCCCTCCATTTCTGAGGAAATGAAGCTCTTTTTTATACGGACTCGGGTTAATTTAATCTTGTTTGACGAATTTTGTGATTGGATAATACTAATATGGGCGGATTAGTAGATCCACTTTGCTTTTCTGAATTATACCCAGCTTTGGATGAGTGGTCTCCTACGAGGCCCATCAAGAAACCCATTTCTTGGATCAATTCTTGATATTAACCAGCATTATCAACCCTTTACCTTGTATTTACGTATGGATCAATCAATGGACGAGGCCTGAATATCCCCCGTTTTCTGTCCTTCGAAGACCCCTCACAGTTTTCCCGATCTCATGTTGCTTTTCCCCTTTCCCTTTTTCTTCCTAGCATAATTCCGGATGGAGAAAGTAAATTAAGAAGAATAAACAAATGATGAAACGATAATTTTTTTATGATATAAAAATCATTTTATGTAGATTCGAACAAGGAAATGAGATTCAGCTGAATTTCCCTATAATGTCTGGTTATTTGTCGGGAAAAAAAAGTGGATTTCAATTATTTTCTAGTGTTTTTTTTTTTGAAAAACATTTTTCGGTGTGTTTGATTATGCTCGAAAATGAGTTGAAAAAAACAAAACCTTAACAGTGATATAAATTTTTATCTTTTGAGACCTTTATCAGCCCATAGGATGAAGTTTTCGTGTATTCAAAATTTAAAACATGTGCATAAATTATAAACCATATTTTGTATCCTTTAAGCACTAACACTTTAAATATAAACGCCATGAAAAAAATATTAAAACTAATATAAAATATAAAATAAATAAAATCTAATATTTTGTCTCTGTGTTTTCATATTTGATTGTGACTTTCTTCTTTTGTTGATTTTTTCATCATAATTAAATTAATTATTTGGTTAAGATACCATTTATTTGTAATTAAAATTTTCAATCTGATCTACAATTTAAGTGTATTTAAAAAAAAATTCATGAATTTTTAAAATAATTACATTCAAATTTGATCGAGAGACTAAGTTATGTTTTTCAAATATAAAAGTACAGGTTCTATACGAACAATTTTCTTGATGAAGTGGCTATACAGATCATGTGAGTTCTTGACTTTCAGGTCTCCAATCTCAAATCAGTGATAAAGGCATAGAATTTTTAGATAGCATTTTGAATTAGTAGCTTTTTACTTGAAAAACAATATTAAAAAAAAAATTAATTATTATTTTTTAAAAATTTATTTTTAATATGCTTCAGAATTTGCAAATATGCAAATAAATAAATAGCACCAAGATAAGACAAAAGAAGTAGAAAGGAGCGGTTGAAAAATACAAAAAATCCTCTTAACAACCTAGAAAGCTCAACAAATTATTCTTATATCAATTTAACTGACCTAAACGCCCAAGTACACCGACAGAACTCCATCTCCTTATCTCCAGCACAAGACGGAAAGAAATAGCAGACGTAATATCCAGCCCTTCAGTTCAGGGCTTCCCAAGAATTGCATCGAAGTTGCCAGAGACAGTACGGTCACTTGTCGATAACATGGAATGATGTCATGATAGCTATAAGAGGGTCTCCATAGCCAACTGCATCTGTTTTATACCCAACATAAGATTATCAGTTTCGCAAAAACCAAAAAAAAATATAATGATATGTTTATTCACAGCCAGATAATATATCAATCCATCAACTGTAGTTGTTTATGCTGCACCAACATCAATGCCTCAGTACAGTTCCAAGATTTTCGCCGTACTGACTTAACAATTTAATATGCCACAACTGTGTATTCTAGATTCTAATGCAATGTCAAGTACTTTCACAAAACAAGATTTTTACTGGACAAGGAACTTGTTCTCTACTGTCACTGCCAAGGTAATTAGCCACCAAATAATAAGGTCATAGATCAAATGGAAGCAACTGGTCCCATCCCCACCAAAAATTACTCCGTTACTACAGAATTCAAGATAAGGAGGAGCATAGTCCTCACATAAAAGCACCACCATTAAAAGAAAAAGAAGGGTGGAGTTTAGTGAGTAAAACTTTGCTCGACCAGTGTGTTCCAGGACCAAACTGCAACATTACGTAGAAACAGCTAGACACCTATCTATCCTGATAATTAAGTGGATCCCTCTCTTTCACATTTTTCCCTAATAAGTAATTAAAAAGGTATATAACATGTTTAAGCCTCAGAGGAAAATGCATGAACTCCTAAAACTATGCATGAAAAAACCTATAACTTGCATTTAATCACATCACTCACAAAATATGCCCAAAATCATCAGAAAAAGTAGATTGATACTTATATTAGAAGTTTGTTATAGATAGAAAGATGCTGTGATTGTGATATTTTATTCCCGTTTCTCCCTTGGCATCTCTCCACATGCTTGCACTATTGCTGACCCCTTTATGTTCTTCAAATGATGTTCTTTTGCTTCTTCTTCTTTTTTAAATGCATCCCTTTTGTAACTCATTTTTTTTATCAAAACTCAATGTGCTAAAACATTGCACTTCAGGCAAACATCTTTGCAGGGTATAAAGTTATCTACAATTTTTCAGAGACCTAATTACTCATTGCTTGCACTAATTCTTTATTTTTTTTCATTTATTTTGGGAATGCATCCCTTGTCTAACTCATTTTTATCATAACTCATATCCTTTACTTATGCTTCGTGGGTGGCACTCGTAGCCTGATTTATTCTAAACCCAGCTAGGCTCCATAAGTGGTGCCTATATGTTTGTTAGTGTCAAAGCAAAGTTGACTTGTAAGTTATTCAAAATATCAAGATGCTAAAAATCTACAAATGACAATAAAAAGGTTGATGTGTTACCTCCATCATTGAAGAGGAGCTTTAATACTTCTCCCGCCACATCAGACTGCTCAATCATCAAGAAAAACATAAGACAAATCAATTATCAAAGCGAACTCTGGTCTGAAGAAACTAAATAGGAGACTTACTTTCACAGGAAGTTCAGTGCCAAATTGATCCAAATATCCTATCACTTGTCCTTCTTTAATCACATCACCCTACAAATTTGAATTTAAAACGTTCAGAATTAAGAAGAGGTGATAGAAGACATGAAGTCATTGTGCAACATTAATTTCAACATTTGGATTATTTTAAATTAATCCAACATAAATGACAAGAGTGAATGTGATGCCATGATAATGAGGTTTAAAGATATCTTTCCAAAAAATTATTCCTGCAACGGATGGTACAGATGATCAGCTGAGAGCAAAAAAAACATTGCACATGCCAGGCCGCAATTTTGATGATGGAAAAATGATCTGGATCACATTTTAAATTTGAGATCTCCAAATTCAGATCTTACAGAATTCCTAGCACATGCCAGTTATCTGCACATACTAATCTCATCAACATGGCTATTCTCCTTCAATAAATTAGCAGAGCATAACTAGAGTTACTTGTGTGCAGTCCATCAGTATTGGATAATTACTTCCACATGTACTGTAAGTCCACCAAGCTTAAACAATGTCTCATCACACTGGGACTATCCAACCATCTACAATCAAATTAACTGACAAATGACACATGGCTGAAATAAATGAAAATAGTTATCAAATAACTGACAAATTTTCAAAGAAGGAGTTGGTTGGCAATAAACATGATAATTCAACAACTACAAAATATCTGACGGAGAAAAGTGGAGTGAGCATATGTACCTCTTTGCAGATAGGCGGCTGCTTCTTTCCTTTCACCGTTCTGTTCCTTCGAAATGAGCCAACCTAACCAAAAAACAAAATTATGCATATGTCGATTGCGTGTCTTGAAGGCTTTTTCACAAGTAAAGGAGAAATTGGCCTTTTTCTCTCTGTTAATATTACTTACAGTTGGAGAAGCAACTAGAGCATATCCACTAGCTCCAGAAGCATCTAATGCTGCTAACTTAGATGACTTCCTAAAGGAGACATTTGTAAAGGGAGTGGTTTTCTCGACAGAGGATTTAGATGGCGATGGTGCTGGAGAAACAGCTGTTGATAACTCCATTGGTGGAGTTGGAATAGGTGGTGGTGGTAGTGGTGTTGATGATGTGAAGGGAGATTTTGCAACCCCAATGTTCCGCTTCAGATGCATTTCAAAGTCCCCAACCTATCAGAAACAGCAGATAAATAGTTATATCATGTATTATTAAGGCTGAAAACCTGCAGCTGGCAAAGATTCAAGGAAATTGCAGGAGTGTAAGCTTGTGTCACTACTATATTTATTTCTTCTGTGGTGTTAAAACCTTATTTTTAACAATTAGAGGCATTTCTAAGAAAAAAGAATGGGGTTCCATGAGAGACAAAAACAAGCACAGTATGGATCAGGAGTTCACCTTAAGTTCCAGCTCAGCAACCTCTGTCTCGTCACAGACATCTAGTATCAATGCCTTTGATGATTTCAAAACAATAGACAAGAAATATTCATATCAGAAAGATGCAAACAGGTATAGATCAAAATGAAATATTCATTATCAAAGGCAAACGAACCAAAATGAGACTTGGAATCAAGCCTTCTTGAGAAAACAAAAGCCATGATATATAATCAAACTAGCATAAGGAAAACACTAAAAACAGCAAGGCCATCGCCTAATCATTCTGTCATGCATTAAGCTAAGAAGCAAATATAGTTTTGCCAACACCTGAATCCCAAATGTGAGTTGGTGTAAAAATCAAATCTGAAACCATCATTTGTCCGCTAGGGCAAATACTAGCAGGACTAATATTAGTTGTTAGTTTTGTGATTCTGGGAAAGCATTGGCTAATTTCAGGACAACATTTATAATGATTTTAACAAGCTTATAGGCAGCCCATAATGAAGCATCTAGTCACTTTTTTAAGCTGGAAGTCCAAATCTATATAGCCCACATCAAGTTCAACAATTTTGCTAGAGGCAAGTAACTGACTTTCAAGATGATTGATGCTAAGTACATAACTTTCTAACAAGAGAGATAGCACAATCGATCTCTAGTTTCGTTACTATGTCTCCTAAATCTCAACTTCTCTTGGAATGGAAGAGGATTTAAATTATCAGTCAAGCTTTCTCAGTGCAAGGGCAGCCAAATAAAAACTTCAATTTATCTCTGATAGCATGAAGAATAGAATCAATCCACGTTTATTTAGGATACAATAAACAGCAGTTAAAAATTGTGATCAGAACAACATAAAGTACTTGAAAGCAGAAAAATGACATTAGTTATGTATAAGAAATAAATTAACAAGTTAATAGCAACAAAATAGGATAGCAATTAATAAGCCTTCAAAGAGGGAAAAAAAAACTCACTTCAAATCCATTTGGAAAAGTTGCATTTCGTTGAGAATTCTTCTCCAATGACCCTTGTTTATTGGAATCTAGCAAACACGCCTTATCAGTAGCAGCAAATCTTAATAAATGTACTCTAATAATAATAATAATAATAATATACAAACATTGATTGAAAAAAAAAAAAAACCATAACTCACCGTCAGTCTTGGCTATTGCAGGAGCTTCAGATGTTTTAACACAGGATACTAGTCTTCGATTTCTCTTTACTGGATAAGATATTAGCTTCCTCCCAGCAGTCAAACCTTGAGTGTGCAGGTTACCTGCCATAGGAATTTCAAAGGTTAAATAGTTATAGTTTAAAAACAGCAAGACAACTAAAGAAATTGGAATGCAAATTTATGAATTTTCAGCCTACCGCCCCTTAATTATAAAAAATCTCTCTCTCTCTGTCTCTCTCTCTCTCCCCTTTCTAGTTTTAGCCTCATAAACATAAACAAATAAACAAAAGACATCACTAATTGCAACCTGATTTGGATCTAATTACATAGAAAAGATCAAAAAGAACAAATTATCGGCAAATTAACCGAAAAAAATACACAAATGCAAGGGGAGAGAGAGAGAGTTACAATGGAAGGATCGAAGAAGAAGAGAGGATTCCATTGGGGAAGAAATGAAGAATTTGAGTTATGCTTGTGTAATGTGAAGAGAAGATTGCAGCAAGTTTTTTTTTTTTTATTCTTGAGGATGGAGGAGCTATTCCGAAATTGGTAGTTAGTTCAGTTAGCTCTAGCTGCACCTGCACCCCCCACATTTCATACAGATATTAAGCACTTCCTTTGTAGTGTTCGGCCACCCACTCTCCCCAGTTTCTCCACTCCATCCCCTTTAAAATGCAAGACAATTATACAAATCAGTCCCCGACTGCATATTTTATTCTTATTTAGTTCCTAAGTTTTAATATTATTCAATTTCACCCTTCAGCTATTTGACATTGACAGAGCGCGAACGTATCTATAATTAGCTAATGAATTATCATGTTGCCACAGTACAACCAACCGGTGAACATGCAAGTAAGCTAGTTTATGCAGGAGGAATGGTGTAGAGTTCGTTGCATTTTCTTTTCTTAGAAGATGGAAGGCCTAGGAAAGAAGAACCAACTTTATTTTCCTCAAAGGCATACGGAGAAACAGAGAGCCAGGAACGAGTTAGTTCTTGTGTTTTAGATTTATTTGGACTAGATCTTTCTGCAAACAAACAATTTTCTCTTCGGTAATGTTCGCTCTACAGCCAGGTGATTCATCTAAACTGATTTTGTATATTAAGAAGTTCAATTAGACACAAGCCATTCGTGCTAAAACTTGATGAAACTTTACCGCAGGTTTGAAGCCTAAGAATAAAAGCTGGGGAAACATGTTCAATCAAATCAACCCTCTCAAGTTTTTCTTATGAACTTAGTTAAAGAAAAAGCGAAAGCTATATTCTATAAACAATACTCGCGCGTTGGGGTGCTGGAGATTTTCAAGTCTGAACAGTATCGGATGCGCCTTGGGAACGAACCCAGCAGCAAACCCGAGCTAACGGGTTTTTTTCCTTCTTCAAATAAATCCAAAGATCAAAAGGCACTCGATACTCTTATGACGCGTGCTGTTATTGATCGAGGAGGGGGGGAATACGTTTTTATATCGACATCATGAAAAAGCCATATAATTGGGTCTCTCCTGTGTCAAGAGTTGTAGTAGTACTCTTAGCGCAAGTCAGGTTTAATATTGCGAATTTAGCTCAAGATGATTTTTAGAACTATCATTTATCAGGAGCCCAGGTTCACTCCCCTTCTAATACTCGACAATTTCAAGGCATCCAGTAACAGCTATTTATCATAACTTGGGCAACCCCAATCCTTGCCATCACTATGATTTTCCCAAAATAAAAAAAGAAATACTTGTTTCTTAAATGGTAAATGATTAATCAGCAACAATACAAGGGAAATAATCTAAAATTAGAAACAATAAGCATGTACTTGAAAATATCAAATCCATCGTTACTAGATCAAAACAACATGGCGAAATCAATTACTGGAAAGATCTTATACTGCATCAAATTTTCAATTCATTCAATCTACAAAATCGTAACTAAATCTTTTGCAATCGTGATAGCGATGAATCTTTTCATCGATAATTTAAAACAGAACCAATCCGTACACTTGTCGTTCAATTACGATCAAACACGAGCGGCAACAGCGGGAGCAGCTGCAGCAGCGGCAGAGGGAGAGGTGACACCAAGGAAGGACAATAAACCCGCACTAGCAGGTTCTTGATCATCAAGGAACAAATCCTCAGGAACCCTAAAGGCACCATGAGCACAAACCAGAGCAAACCCAACCATCGAAGCAGAGATCAAGAGCGATCCTACACTAGTCAAGAAAATAACAACAACTGTCGAAACGACGAGAATCCCCAGCGTTTCACGGTCCGAGAATGAACGGCCGAGAATAACCAAAGGCTGATCTGACGGTCGAAACAGGTAGAGGAAGATCCAAGAGGCAAGGAGTGATAGGAGGACGATGAGTGAGAGAGGGTGAGAAAGGAGAGAAAAGGCGAGTATAAGTGCGAGTAGGGTAATGTAATTGACTTTGAAGTAAGAGAGATTTTTTCGGATGCGGGTTGCGGCTTCAGAGAGGGAGTCAGGCCGGGCCATGTAATTTCGGTCTATAAGCTCGGACCATGGGCGGCGTTGAGAGAAGCCTTGGCGGATGGAGGTGGAGATGCGGGAGAGGAACGCGCGGAAAGCGGGAGTTGCTATTGGGGATTGGGTTTGGGCATTTGAGATTGGGATTGTAGGAGAGGACATTTTGGCGGCGCGTGAGAGTAATAGACGTGGGTGTGGAGAACGCGTGGAGGTGGCTAGGAGAACTTTACTCCAAGAGAGGATGCAGTAGAGGACCAGTGGTGTTGGTGAATGGAGAGAGAAAGAGAGACTTACTGGAGGTTCGAAGGGAAGCTACTGAATGCATCGCTGGATCCAGTAACGGAAGCTGACAGGGGTGATTGTCGGTGCCATTGGATTTGATCTCTTTATCAACGGTAATCATCTTCTTCTTCTTTTTTATTTCTGATTGGCGACGACGCGCTTCGTTTATCAATTAACAGACCAATAAACAGTTCACCACGTTCATCATTGATCATTCACGTGCAGTTGCGGTGGCCTCTTATTGGGCCTTTACCCATGGAAAGGCTTCAAGCCCTTTTCATTGAGGCTTTCGAGACGTTCTAAATTAGAATTTTCTTCTAGTAAAACCTTCTACTTCAAGACTTATTTGATTTTGACCCCTAACCCGTTTGTATTTATATTTAAAAAATATTTTTGAAAAAAATTAAAAAAAAAATATTTTTTTTTACTTTAAATTATTATTTTTATAAATTTTCACAACATAAATCACTTTGAAAAGCCACTTTCAAACTCTCTTAAAAGCGTGTAGAGAAAATTACGAGAACCTCTGAAGCGGAGTTTTAGAGGAGAAATTGAGTCACTTTATCAAAGAGCTTGTTGGGCCGAATAATCTCTTAGCCCATCATCAAAGAAAACCCACTTTCAATATTCCTTTAGATTTGGGCTGTGTATATTTTGTAGACAATCAAAGGCCTATGGGGATGGGCTGTGATACAGAATACAATATAGAAGGATTCCGTCATTTGGAGTCTGGACCACCGCATGGTCTGGTTGATCCCCTGTGTACACCTGTGAACATGATGCAATGGTCCATCGAAGACCACGATGGATCTCCCCTCTGAACTTCTGGACCACCCCCATGAACATGATGATGATGACTCTTTCCAGGTTATCAAAGACTAACCTTTGCAAGTTAAGTTTAATCATTAATAAATGCTGAAGGGGCCCTCTCGTGGGTGTCCCTTTCTCTTCTAGATCCATGCAAATTTAAAAAATATTAGCTGGAAAAGATGGCCATCCAACGGTGTAGATTAAGCAAGAACTCCACCATCCTCAAAAGAAAGAAACCGACCCCGCTTTTTGTCTGGAATTTTGGATTCACATAAGAGACAAAGACATGTCTTGTTTTACCTCGTATCACTAACTACCTCAATGAAGCCTCTTGAAGACCAATCCCATCCTGCCAAGTCCTCAGGCTAATATTATAGCCCAAAACCAGCTATTCAATCTCAAAAGCACAAGATATATATTGGAATATTTAAAACGAAGGTCCCAGCTTCAAAATTTGAATTAGGAATAAGAAAAATAAGATGTTTAGGGCGTAGGTCTTCTTCCTCTACATACTTTAAATCATTAGTCTCCCTTAATTCTTACTACAATATTTTGATGTTACCTAGCTTATGTAGCTACTGGCACTTACGAAGATCTACCTCCCTCGTCAGTTTATCGATCCATAAAACCGGAAAAATTTTCATTGAAAAAAAAAAGAAACAAAAGAACAGATAATATATATATATATTGTCTTTTCTGGATACTTGACGTGTTTTTACATTTGATTTATTGGATTTTGACCCTTCAAAGAAGATAGCCGTTAGGGGCGCGGTAGGGCAATAAAAGAGCATATTGTATAATCCATGAACGAATGCACATGAATTAAAAACACTGGTAAAAAGAAAAATGTTCGTTGAGAAGAGGGAAAACTATGGATTAGGAAAAAACTAGCCGTTAGGATTTTGTATAGGAGGAAGAGCCACTCTCTCGGTGCAACTTATTGCCACCCGGCTCCCCCTGACAACATGTCTCCAAGATTTCTCTCTCCCAATACAAAGATTCCTCCTCTCCCCCTCTCTACCGTGAGTAAGATCTTCACGTGGTCCATGACAGAAACCCACCTCCTGTTCTAGTTTAACACTACAAAACCCACTCGCAGGTGTTTTAGCTCCTGTTTCATTCCTCTATACTTCTTCTGCACACTAATGTCTATAAACTCAAACTCTCTCCTTTTCGTTGAAACAAGCAAAACAAAATAATCTTTGTTTTCTTCCTTCCTTTTTCCTTCTTGTTTACTCATTTCTAATCTCATTTTTTCTACCTCTTTGATGGTTTATGGAGAATCCAAATAAATCACTCAATAGTTTTTACAACTACCCTTGCCAAAATCTAGCCGATTCATGCTGCATGTCCAATAAGAAGAAGGAGAAATGGAAGATTCAGTCACAATTACAAAATCCCTTTTCTCTATACACCCACATTTTCTTGCTTCTCCAGCTTCTGCTCATTTCTGCATTTCAACCAGTTTCGAGCCAAGGTTGGGATGGTGTGATTGTCACCCAAGCTGATTTTCAAGCACTGCAAGCCTTCAAGCATGAACTGGTTGATCCAAAAGGCATCTTGAGAAGCTGGAATGACAGTGGCTATGGAGCTTGTTCAGGTGGTTGGATTGGAATCAAGTGTGCTCAAGGCCAAGTTATTGTAATCCAGCTTCCTTGGAAAGGACTGGGAGGCAGAATCACTGAGAAAATTGGCCAACTTCAAGAACTAAGAAAGCTTAGCCTCCATGACAATGTCATCGGTGGCTCAATCCCTCATGAATTGGGATTTCTCCCCAATCTTAGAGGTGTTCAGTTATTCAATAACCGGTTGTCAGGTTCAATCCCACCTTCATTAGGTTCTTGCCCTTTGCTTCAAACTCTAGACCTTAGTAATAATTTACTCACTGGGTCTATCCCCTCTAGTCTTGCAAACTCTACCAAGCTTTTTAGGCTCAATTTGAGCCACAATTCACTTTCGGGTTTAATCCCAGTTAGTCTCACAAGCTCTTCTTCCCTGATTTTCCTTGATCTTCAATACAATAACCTCTCTGGTGCCATTCCAAACTCTTGGGGTGCAACGCAAAAGAAGAATAACTTTCTTCCACTTCAGCACT